GATTCGTAGCATATGTAATTCCATGCTGTATGACTCTGACATATAATTGTGTCTTTAAATTTGTTAAGTGGACAAATTTTATTCTAAAATTTACATTTACATTTACCTGATTAAATTTTGCTTTTAATGTAATTATTTCCTGCTTTATATAAACAACGCAATCTAAATGAACTACATTACAAAGAAATAAAACATGTTAAACCTTTCGATTTGTATATAATTATTTAATTACATACAATTTTTTGAATACAGTAACGGTACAAAAATAATAATAATAACTACATTTCTTATAAGTTAGTACTTAACGAGAATTAGAAGTATATAATAGAGCAATAAGAAGATATATTGCGTAAAGCAAAGTAATGCAAAAGTTATAACGAGCGCGATCACTGTTACAATCGTTATCAGTTGTCACGCAATAAAATGATTACCAAAAAGAAATCAAATTCAAATCTCTTGAATTATTATTCAATTGCATCATGCGATGTTGATATCGAGCGGCAATTTCACGGAAACATCTCGCATAAAGCAAAAGCGATACGTTACGCGAATTATTATGGACGTCATGAGCGTTATCATTCATCGCACGATAGAACGATCACACGTAGGATGCGCACGAACCCTCAGTTCAATGTAACCGTTGAAAGAGAAAAATCGTGCGTATATCCATGAATCTACATGCCGCAGGGCGCGGAATAGCGGCAGCGCATCGCGCGCGCGCGCGCGCGCGCCTCTTAAGTAAGCGAGCGGGGGCCGAGAGCGAGAAAAGATTCACAGGTATATTCATAAGACGCGACCGGGGACCCGAGGGGAGGCTGCGTTGTGAAACCGGTAAGATTTTACGACCGGTTATTACCCACCAGCGAGCAACACCCACGCGCAACGGCCCGGTAGAGATATTTCGGCGCCCCGGGCAAAACAGCGAGTCTGCGCCTCCATATTAAGCATGTGATAGAAACACAGGTTGAGAGAGTTGTCTATCCTTTTTTCCATAAGAGGTAACAATGTAACGTATAGAAAGAGATGATCAGAAAACATGGAAAAAAATGAATTTCAGGAAATATGTATTTTAGGACTTTTGTGCCGTTTTAGATAAGTAAACACGTCAAGTGGTCAAGCTTCGATCAGAAGAACCATTTTTGGAATATTCTATGTATCTTGTGCTTATATTTAGAGATAAAAATTTATTTTATCTTTAATATTTCCAAGTAATACTGAATTTACATATATATAGACAAAAAATAGACTTTACAATTTATAATAGGTAAATATGTCGTATAATTTATGTTTCAACAGTTTATTGGTCTCTTAAAGAAAATGCAACAAATCAAAAGTTACTTGTGTTTCTCAGTTGTTAAGAAATGCGACTTATGCGCAACACGTACGAGGCAACGCGAGTTTTAGACATAAAATTCTTTAACCTTGGCCATATCGCTGGCGCCGTTGGCGCTTTTCACGTCGAAAAAGCATGCGTTTCCGCGCCCACGGAAAGGATCCGGTGCACCTGGTCGCGAGCACGTATCGCAGGTATCTACTTATGTATACCGAGCACGACGTGCCCAATATCCTTCGATCGTGCCACGCAGCCGGTGACGTAGTTTTCACGTACCAGACGGTAAATATTAGATCCCGTGCCGTCGTTCGCGTTTTTGTAATCATCCATCAACTTTTAACATACCGTATTTCATAATGGTACAACCGTGCCGTGCACTTACCTACGTCGAAGCTTCTAGATATGGATATCTTACAAAATATCTGTCTCGACACGCGAGCTTGAAAAATTTCATAAGAGAAAAGAATATGTAGTCTGTATATTATCATAATCAATTAGAATTTACTTTTAGGAAAATTAATCTGAAATCCATCTATCAAATCTGATTTTATTAATCTATTAAATTAATTTTGAGTCAATTTTTTAATTGAACGTGGCAATTTCTAATTTAAGAAAAAGTTACAATTTCAGATTAGATTTCAAAAGACTGTCTCTTTTGATTGTATAGAATAAAAGTGCACCCGAAGTTTGATAAATTAATAATTTCAGATGGATTTCTGAAAAACTATATTTAATTAATTTCGCAACTCTATATCTGCTTATATATATATATAAGTTCTTATTAACCCATTGTTATTATCATCGTAATTAAAATAAACATGTATTCGTAAAATTTTATTTATACACGTTATTTGAGAACAAATCTATTAATATTTATGGAACCGGAATAAGTTGAACAACCTTTACATTCTAGTAATGTAAGCCATTTATAGCTGATCTTCGAGACCGATTTGACGTTGGTCTTACATTATGATCGTACAGCTAATTATAAGCAAAGGTTAAAGGAGCCTCTTCGCAGACGCCTCCCTGCTTCGCCTTTCTGCCGGCAGTCGGGAATAGAGAAGGTTAACATGACAGCGAACAGAGTCAACATATCGAGAAGCGCGATCTCTCGCAAAAGGACGAGAGCCGCACGTCGCTCATCCACGATGGGGTTAAGTAAATCTCGTCCGTTCCGCGGACGACAGAGTCGGCCGCTCCCATCGCGCGCGCAAGGAAAGATGATGCCGCGCTGGTTTCGATCGGTATAACGCGCGTATATAGAAAGTGGAATAAATCGATGAACTCTCAGGTGCATGGCATAAGAGCGTCGTGACCTGCCTTCAATCGGCGCAGTCGGCTCGCGGCCGACTATGTCAGCTATTCGCGGCCTCGTCATCGGGGATACTTTCTTTTTATCATCGGGCTTTTCTTTTCTTCTCTCCTCTCCTTTCTTCCCTGTGCGCACGACGACGCCGCGACGTGAGTGCACTCGTTCGCTTGCGCCTCGCCACGCCGCGACCGCGGCGTTTATTATCGCCTTTCACCGTTTGACGATCGGTACGTCCGACGTCGTACCTGCCGTTGCAAGTTTCTAGCACGACAATATTGCGAGGTATATTTGCTCACGAATGTAATGAAGCGCTGCCGTGAGAATGTGGGACCAAGCGATTTCGAATTCCGCTTCTTTTCTTCCTCCTTCTTCCACGCGCGCATTGCACGTCTTCGACCTTCGAGATTATTGCGATCGGCTGATATTCTTGCGGATACGGGCCGACTTCGTCATTTCTTCGATCTACGGTGAAAATCGAAGAAACGCCTCGCTCATTAAATTGCAAACTCGGCAAAAACCTATAAAGCGTATAATACTTTGGCTCTACATTGAGCCGGAAATCCATTGGGGTCAAAAGAAGAAGAAAAATTGCAAAAGTCTTCGCAGTTTGTTTATGAGAAGCACACGGAGCTCGATATCTGCGGTGCGAATAAATGTCGAGAAGATTAGAAATTGCGTTCTTCATTGCTCCAGCACGCACTTTGCTCTACGCACGCATTGCCGGATTCAAGTAGAAAGTCGGACCCACGTCACACCGGCGCGCGCTACGTGTGTGATACGTAACCCGAGATTATTGTCTCGTGGCACGACAATCGGGACGATTAATCGCCGTCTTTGTGAGAGGGGTTATCGACGAAACGGACGTTGGTACAAATCGTACCTGGCAACCCTTGACCCCATAACTTACAACATCGCACCCATTATCGCGTCAGGACGATAAGCCGTGGGCTCCACGTACCGTAATTTATTACGAAAATGTTTTCCTCGTTCGATCGCGAGTGCCGCAAACAAACGCCGACTGAATCGTATAGAATCCATTGACGGAGAAAACCGCAGTTTTTATTAATTGCAACACTTCCGTTTCATTCCCGTTCATAATACATGCTCTTCAAATTGCGATATGTCTTAGAGTTTGCGGCACGGTTTGACATACGCGTAAAAGAGTCACGGTGCGGACTCGCTTCGCGTGTACCTGGCGCGAGACACCAACGTGTCTCTTGATAACGCCTGGCATGAAGTAAATTACCAAAATTTACGATTTTATAAGATAACGATGTTTATATTGAAATTGTTTCTTTAAAATAATAGCACAGAAAATTTAATATAATAATAATTTATTTTTGACAAAAATATATTTAATTGTTTCCTATAATATCTTAGAGTTATCACCATTGGACATTCTTATTTTTCCTTAGATGATTTTGGAACAGATTCTATCTCAACGAAAATAGTGTCGCAGCCTCTATAATTTTTATACAATATTATGAGGAATGACCGTTGATTTTATTGTATAAAAGGAATAATGAAAAAAATCAGCGGTCCTCTCTCCATAGCACACGATTTACGTATTAAACCGTACCTTTGAAACGTTTATGCTGTAATGTTGGAAAAAAGTTCGTGTTTACTAAAACGAGTGCGATATGCATATATGCATTTGCCACTAGCACACGCGATATGCGAGGCGCGAAACCGTTTTTCCGCGTTATTGAGCTGAGCGCGCAAATTACTTTAGCGCAATTTTATTACACGAAACCTGTATATCCCCCGGGCTTGTATAAATACATACATATATACCGCACTTAAGCGCGCGACCTACTAAGATAACGAGATGCAACTCCGAGACGTATGTTACGTCTGCTCGGTTCTGCCCTGCTCCTCCAAAGTCATTAATTAAGATTCAAGCGACGTATTACGTACCGCGCCGTGTTTATTGATTAATCATCGGAGTGGCGCATCGCGCTTATCAGAAACACTGCAATCCGATATCGATAACACACGATAAGCCTGTGTATGAATTAATTGAGATAACGTTACTCACGTGTACATACAAGCACATACGATACTCCTGCGAACGTAAGCGATTCGCGAGCGAATGAATAAGTCTTTGAATCACTCAAGTATATCAAATAACGACGTCTTAATTATGTCAGCGACGATAAAGAAGAGAGAGATCCGCGATACGCGTGATTGCGAGTCCGAAAGACTTCAATAATTACAAAAAGAGATAAGAATTTCTCAAGTTACATCAAGTGCTAGTTTCGGCCGCCTGCAGTTTTCAATGAACTTTTATTTCTTTTTCATAAACCATCGTATAGTTGCAGTGGAGATAATTGAGTTCCCTTGTTTGTCTGTTGCAGCAGGTCGACATCCTGGCAGCGGGGACAGGATTCCCAGCGATCCAGCCCTAGTCCCAGCAGGCTCCGTCGCGCGCAGGAAGCGGCAGCATCTCACACAGCCCCCGTTTCGGTAAGTTAAAAGAATATAATAAACGAATTATAGTAATTATGTAATCAGGAATTATACAATTATGTAATTATTATTATAGCGTTCTTAAGTAATTTTACTATTAAAAGAATAATTAGAGTATAATGTAATGAAAGATAAAAGTGATTATATACTCAAAAGGATAATGAGTAATCAAATTATGGTGGAGCGGGAGGTCACTTTGATACCCCGAGATCAATATCTTCGGAAGAGGAGAAGAGCTGGCGACCCGTTGGAATATTTCTGCTGAAGTTAATTATCGGAGTGATGATCTAAAGGAAAAGAGAGCAGCATCGCGTCCCCTCGTTCATGTTCGAGAAATCGATTTATGTGTCGTATTCATGTCCGAAACGATCTGTTACTTCGGTAAAGAATATGCCGTAACGTCTGTCTCTCTCGGGGTTTCTATATTTCTATATACTTGGCGCATGACGTAAGACCCGCGTCTCCTGACCCACCCCTCCCGGAAGAGTGATATTCTTTTTCTTCGCCGAATAACAATGGCTTCGCGTCATCTATGTCGGATCGGACACATTGTTGCTGGTGAACGCAGCGATAAATAACTGGTATTGTTTGATAAATTAACTCACCTGCCGAGAGTGTATTATTCTCTTCGCGTATACTTATTTCTCAGGCATGGACGAAAGTTTCGAACGCTATTTAAGCGCACCTAGGAAAAACACATTATCTCAAATTGCGCGATAGTAACATACTTTTTTTTTTCTTAAGAATTCAAGAAAATAAATCTATCAATTTAACATTTTCTCTCAATTTTGATATTAATTTTTTTTAATTTTTTTTAAATAACTTTTAAAATAACTCAGTAAACACAGAATATAATTGAACATAATACAGGAGTAACACGTAATATAACGGATAATATAATATAATGTTGTACTTAATTAATGTCGAGGATATACATATGTATAATCCTCTTTTATTAATGCATGATATATGTATGTTGTATTAAATTTCTGTCACATAGTTGCAGTTTCGCGAGTGAGAAATTAAAACTAACATTTACATTGCATGCAATTAACGCATTATATTAACTATATGCAACTGTTATATCAGTGCTTGTTGGGTTGCTTGAATTTTTTTGAAAATAATTCAGCAATGGGTAACAAAAAGGACTTTCGTATTTATCCTTACACTACGAAAGGATTAGCAGCGCCATACAACGATATGGTAAATCAAGTGACGCAAGATGACTTTATTTACCGGCGCAAAGCCGCAAACTTGTCACTATGACCCTTGCATTCCTTGGTCAATGAGACATTTTAGGGCTTAATTAAGCAGACCTCAAGCCCCGCTACTAATTTTCCGGTCTGCATGCGCGACATACGTGTAGGCCGGCGCAGCGCACGGTTATCGATTTAATTTCGTTTATTTTCATTTACGTGCGCACACATGAGGACCGGCAGAACGTAATTCTTCAAGAGTAAATAGAGAAATTTTCAATTCTGTCGATATCAGCCTCAGTTGACCGTCTATTAATCTCAAACTTGGGCATATATACCCTGCAACATACATCTTCGTTTTCTCGCCAGCTCGATTTGTAATTTCTCCCTCGGAATGTATTCCTGAGGACTGCTCTTGAACGGTAAGAGTTTGATATCCTCCGAGACTCGATCATGGGGGGGGTTTGTGACTGCTAAGGACTAACATATTGTACGTTACTCGCGATTCATTCATCACTGCCGGCTATTTCTCCCTGTAGGAGCCGGCGTATTTCCGTCGCGACGACGCTGCATTAGGAAGCGGTTCAGCCGCGATATTTCATCTGGTAAACCGATCTAAATATTCGCGGCACGCGAATCCCGCGCGACGGCACGCTGTCACAGGCTCCCGATCCGAGTAATTACTAGCTATATACGCGGAAGCGATCATCGATCGGCGACGCGTGAGCAATGGCCCCGATGCCGGTGACGTCTCGGCGGTAGCTGCACGTATAGGGATGCACGCGACTGTGGTATACCGCGGCCGGCTGGTGACGATCTCTACATGCATCACCCGCAGCGACGACAGTGTGCTCGTTAACGTCCGACGTATCGTGTCGAACTGACGCTATCCGCTGCACATTTGTATAACCGGAAGCGGACGTCTCGGGAGGCGAGAAATCCCACGTTGTGCGCGTCGCACACTCGTAGCAGGTGTAAGCTGGTAATTTATGCTCCTAACAATGATAAAATCGAGCGACTATATCTGGAGCTACTCTACTTCGAACGCGAACGCTATATTATTTGATCCGCGGAGGCTGAACGGAATGACAGATTCAAAACGACGGACTCTTTTAACAGAATGAATAATCGACGAGGCGGATTATTTGACAAAAATCACAGGTCGAGATTATAATTTGACAGATATTCAAATGTCTTGAAGCGCGAAAGCGCTCCGTTAAACGAAATTTCCATCGAGATAAAGCCCAAGTGGCACGATTCAAATTTGCATAATTTTCCGTTTGAATCGAGTACGATTATAGCGAGATGAATTCAAGGGCTGTCGGCGATTGAAGTTTGAGCTAGCCGGATTTATCCTATATATATGTATATATGTATATAGCAGGATATATATATATATATATATATATCCTGCTATATATCGTGCGTTAGATTTCTCGTCGCACGGGAATCTTAATTAGTAGAACGTCGCGCGCGGTGTCGAGGCAGCTGCAAAGATATAATCAACCTTTGTGGCTCGACACCGTTTGCACCTCTTTCCTCTCCCGCCCAACGCGGAGGCATGCGTGAAAGGATGGGCAGAAACCGCGAAATCCACGCTTTCGTCGATTACCACGGATATAAGGTGCAGTGATACGCGCTTGGGGTTGCGGCCGATGACGCGCGAGTAGATCGGTAATTTATAGCCGGGCACTGTTGTGAAAGCGATGATTGGCGGTTATCATCCGTATTACGTGTGTTTTAACATGTGAATAATGAAGAGATTATTTTGGCTCTCGACAAAAAATACCATTTAATTTATCAGACGAATTTATTATCGTTATACTTCGTGAGCACACGTATATGTGATTTATTATCGCTCGTATCTCCACGAGTAATTACTCCTCATGGTCTCTGTATAATATAGCGAAGAGCTGTAAATAAAATCCGATTCAATTGCAATTTGCAGTTTATCAACCACGGCAAAAAAGAACGATGAGGGCAAGACGATACGACGAACCCGGCCAATTTTAAATAAAACCGGTTGCCTGGTAACCCACTTGTAGCGAAGCTTATAGTAACATAATATTAGACCCGGTAACCCGGCCAAAGTATACTCGATACTGATACAAAGATACGAATGATCAAGCGCATTCGTGCGTGCACAGTCGAATCGTGGGAAAGATATACATACGTAACGCAACTTTCTCGCGGGGGTTATCAATTGTCATCAATAATATGCTGCGCTAAGTATGCCTGCGCACTGAAAATAAACGTGACCCTTTCCGATATGTATTAGGGGATGAGATACGAGGAATTATTTATTGAGGAACAATATTATTCTGAGATTATCTCAGAATTTTTACAGAACGGTTACTCAATATTTCACTACTCTGGTTGACATTTATATCTTCAGTTGTATCTTATTCGACTTTTAACATTTTATTTCAGCCTTTGCATGACTACAGAACAAGTGGCCACGCCGGAAGGGAGAGACGACGGATTCCTGGTCTCAGCAAAGCTCAACGGCGGATCAAAGCGTCCAGCACCCCGGCGCTTTTGGATAGAAACCACGACAGGTATGTGTATATATTTAAATAGCGTATTAATGGATAGATAGGTAATCCATTCACACGCCTTTGAAAAGGAATTACAACTTATATACTCGTGGAAATGTATAAACTCTCAAAAACCGAACCCCCACAACCAAAACTACAAAGGCAAAGTAACGCGACAATGTAATTAAATTATTCAATATTCTGTATCATTTTTATGACATTTAATTATTTTCTTCTACAATCCATTTTCTCTCTCTGGATTACATTTTTCATCCAAGCTACTTTTCCCTCTGTGTCGGATGTAACTGACTTCACGTCAGTATCGAGATATTCACGTATCAATCATCTAAATATTATTCTATAAAATTTTATATACATTTATATGCATTTGTTTGCTAATAAATGACGGTTCAAAATAAAATAATACGCAATATCGTTGGTGAAAATTGAGGTGAAAATACAACTATCAACCCGATTTTAATAAATGTTACATTTTTTTTTTTTTTTTATCTTGTCTTTATTCTATTTTGAGTATATTCCTTTCTATCTCTTTTTTTTATACCTTTAATATATAATAATCCCACGATACATCTTTTATGGAAAAAAAAGAATAGCGGAGAACTAAGCACAGATAAAAAAATAATA